AGGAAGAGGGAGAAAAGAGAGAGAGAGAGAGATTGATAGAGAGAGGAAAAAAAAGAGAGAGAGAGAGAGAAAAGAGAGAGAGTGAAAGAGTTCCGGGAGGGGTTTTCACGAAGCAAACTTACTTATACGAGGTGGAGGGGCGCGGGGAAGTGCCGGGAGGTTTGGGTTCAACTGCGTCCGGAGATAACAGGGTCGTCTTCCGCTTGCTCGCCACTTTAGCGCTAAGTGGATCGCTGTACCACCGGCGCCGGCTCGTTGACTTGTTTTTTTTTTTGCTTTAGTACAGGTTTTACGGCTCTCGCAACTGCATAAGGTCCTATGAGCGCCAGAGGTGTTACAAGAGAGTCTTTACTTTACTTTACTTTTATCCGCCGCTTATACCCCTTTGGGTGTCGCGGGAAGAAAGAGACGTCTCTCTGTCGCCAGCCGGAGAGCTTAGGTCATGGGGATGCCGTGGGTGTTTAATGTTTCCCTGACTTCATCTATCCAAGTCTTTCTACAAGAGAGTAACAAACATAAAAAAAGAAGAAGGGGAGATAAATGATTTTAGTTTTAATAGAGGTTTTACGGCGCTTGCAACTGCATACGGTCATAATTATGAGCGCTAGAGGTGTTACAAGAGAGTAACAAACATATAGAAGAAGAAAGGGAGATAGGAACGATATATGTTTTTAGTTTTTTTAGCTTTAGTAGAGGCTTCACGCGCTCGCAACTGCATAAGGTCATATGAGGGCCAGAGGTGTTACAAGAGAGTAACAAACATATAGAAGAAGAAGGGGAGATAAGGACGATAGATGTTTTTAGTTTTAGTAGAGGTTTTACGGCACTCGCAACTGCATAAGGTCATATGAGCGCCAGAGGTGTTACATGAGAGTAACAAACACAAAAAAGAAGAAGGGGAGATAAGGGTGATAGATGTTTTTAGTTTTAGTAGAGGTTTTACGGCGCTCGCAACTGCTTGGTCATATGAGCGCCAGAAGATTTGATGTGTCATAAGAGAGTAACAAACATAAAAAGAAGAAGGGGAGATAAGGACGATATATGTTTTTAGTTTTAGTAGAGGTTTTACGGCGTTCGCAACTGCATACGGTCATAGGAGCGCCAGAGGTGTTACAAGAGAGTAACAAACATAAAAAAGAAGAAGGGGAGATAAGGACGATAAATGTTTGATAGGAAAGAAGAAGCAGACCACACCAGAACACCCGCCTGACTTGAGGGAACGTGCAACTGTGGCCTTCTACTTTTTAGCTTGGAAGGAGTTCCGGAGAAGGTCGGCCGACCAACAACACATGACCTTAACCCTAATCTTAACCTTAATTCTAACCCTAACCTTAACCCTTATCTTAACCTTGTCCTTAACCCTAACCATAATCTTAACTTTAACCCTAAATCTAACCCTAACCTTAACCCTAACCATAAACATAACCCTAACCCTAATCCTTACCTTAACCCTAACCCTAACCCTAATCTTAACCCTAACCCTAATCTTAATCTGAACCTGAACCCTAACCCTAACCCTAACCCTAACCCCGACCCTAACTCTTGTTTAATTTTGGGAGGACTTCCGTAACGAGCGACCACCCCAACAAACACAATAAAGAAGAGACCTAGATCTAACACCTAACCCTGACACAACCTCTATCCCTACCCTTATCCCTACCCCTACCCTTACCCGTACCTCTACCTCTACCCTAACCCTAGCCTTACTCTTACCCCTTACCCTAACCCTCTATTCTACTCTGTTTCATAGTGGTCCCTCATTCCGGAAGTCCTCCCGTTTGCTCTGTGACCTTGTCACGGTAAGTGCCGCCCTCTGCTGCTTTTCCAATAGGTGGACGTTGTTCCTCGGACCTTCTTGCAACAAAATAGGGCCTATACTCTCTCTCTCTCTCTCTCTCTTGTCATTCTTCCTGGCTGAGCTATTTCGGTTCCGGGCCAGGTTTCTATGTCCCGTTCCCATTTTCTATTAGGTTTCCCCCTTCTTCTTCTGTCTTTTACCTTTGCTTTCAGAATATTATGTTTCTCAGGTGTATCATGGCGTTTGATATGCCCAAAGCAGTTCAGTTGCAGTGACTGTTATAACGTTCTTGAGGAGTGATGGTGTTTTTTA